CACTCACGACCATGCGAGAAGATCAGCAAGCAAAGTTGAATTTGCCCGCGGTGGCTCAATACAAATCATTGGATTGGAGCGCCCGAGATCTCTGCTTGTTGACCGTGCCGCACCCTCAGCGATGTGTACTTCAGATGCCTACTGCAGGCCACCTGCGGGAGGAGGTTCGGGGTCCAGGTACCAAGGTGCTTCAGTTACAGAGCTCCATGCTGGCAATCCCAAGAAGCCGAAAGCCAAAGAGGAAGAGGTCGCAAGACGTCAGAGCTGAGAAGAGAACAGTCGGAAGAGGGACGGGAATCCTCAATTGCGGAAGCATCGTCTTTCATCCAATGCCTCCTCCACTCTTCAGAGTCCTTGCTTTGTCACCTGCAAACAGCACTTGTGGACCCAGGTACCCCCAGCAATGAACCCCAACGGACAGCCTCCAAGGCCTCGACTTCCCTCTCGGACCCCCCAAAAATCCCGTTGGAGCCAAGGCGAAGCTCCTTTCCACTTCCTGTAGCGCTCATGGCTGCCATGGCACTGCCCAGCTTCGCATCCACCCAGGCTCAGGCTTGGCACCGGCTGAGTGTTGGGGGATGTGGGTCCTCGCAGGTTGGACGAATACGGTATGTGAAGTGCAAACCGGGCAGAGTGGACAAGCCGCGCTCAAGTGTATTCAAGGAGTTACGCGGTGTTCCCTCTCAGGTGAAGGGCAAGAAGGAGAAGAGCCCAGTTCTCAGAGTGGTTGCGACCATGCCAGCGGGATGTGGTTGCTGTTACGAGTTGAGCAGCAGACTAGGCCAAGGACGCATGTCAAGCATCTGCCGGCAGAGACCTCTTCTTTGAGCGGTTTCCCCCTGGCTGGCGAGGGGGTAGAAGACAGCAGATGCAGCAAGAACGGCAAAGAGCAGACGCAGTCAGTCAGTCAGTCAGTGTCGGTGTCGGTGTCGGTGTCGGTGTCGGTGTCGGTGTCGGTGTGTCTGTGTCTCTGTGCCTCTGTGCCTCTGTGTCTCTGTGTCTCTGCGTCTCTGTGTCTCTGTGTCTGTGTGTCTGTGTCTGTGCGCGCACGCATGGAGCCCCACATCACCCATGCCCAGGCCCCAAGAAGGTGCTGTTGAAGACCCAGCAAGAGGCCGGATGCGACGACAATAATGGGATGGCGAATGTGGTGAGTTTTTGTCTGGGGTCTCGGAGCTGCCGGCCGGAAATGCCGGGTCTGGAGCTTCGCAGTCCGCTCCAGCTTGGTCTGTCGCAGTTGCAGTTCGAGTGCCCTTCTTGAAGCTGGGTCTTGAGCCCTGCCAGGCCTTCAACACTGAGCATCTCGCTTGCACATGCAAAGGTTCCAGGATTGAACAGCGCTTTTTGAAGGGGTCATTATGATGAGGTTTGTCGTCTTGGGGAGGTGTTGAGTTTTTCCTATTGAATGCCCTTGCGTGCAAGCGCGCTTCGCCGAGTCCCGCAGACTTGCAGCCCGCCTACCTTGTCCGCAATGGGCTGGAGCCGATCCATGAGGAGTTCTTGCAGCCTGGGAATCTAGTTTGGGGGTTGGTTGCCTGGTGCTGCTCCATCTGATTCTCCTGAGTATCTTCGGAGCACGGTGAAAGACCGTAGTACCTGGTCTGGCGTGCGTCCCAGCTCCGCATCGCTGAATGCAAAACAGAGGGCTAAAGACCATCGATGCCCAATTCCCCGAGCAATGTTGATAGGCGCGGCACCTTGCCCAAGCCTCGGTGAGTCTGAGAGGGTTCTTCGAGTCCAGAAGAACGCATGGTCTCTCTTCCCTGTGATGTGGCACGTCAAACCTCAACCCGAAAGCCCTGAGCGGTGAACCCGAAAGGACGAAGAGCATTTCACGACGATCGCTCCCCCACCGGGTCTCGAGAAGTGCGATGTGCCTGGGATGCCTTCGGAACTTTGAGTCTTAGCAAAGAGCCCTCCAAGAATGGTTGCCTCCTGAGGTTTCCATTGAGAAGCCGGAGGTAAATTCGAGATTTGAGTTCAGCGGTGTTTGGTGTGATAAGGTGTGTCGGTCGGGGACGCAAGCTAGTGGTATTCATGAGCCTGGGAGAAATCATTGGCAAGCCTCACTCAGCACCAATTGAATCGAGACCCAGTTGCAGAGCTTGGGCGCTCGTGCTTCCTTGTTAAAGTCTTCGGTGGCGAAACCAGGGCGCGATTCTGCGGTTACATGTTGTATCATGTTGTCACATCCCAGAAGATGGCGCCAGGATGACTTTTCCGACAGCCTCTGGAGTCGCCAGGAGCTCAGCACTTGCTTTGTGATCTGAAGGTCTGTCGACACTGCATGTTCAGAACGCCAACGCTTCTCCCACGTGCGGGATGTCCGGTTGTGTTCCCATTTCCGTCAGAGGGGTTTGGCGATGACGAAGTTCGGAGCATGTCGGTCGTGATTGTAAACGGAGAGAGCGAGACAAGTGTGTGAACTTAGCACTTTGACCATGCCGAAATTTGGAACACTAGCACCATGCATCGTCAAACCTGTCAGGAGCGCAACTAACTAGTAACTAGCATTTCTTGTGCATTCAGTCATGCACAAAGGCGGTTCATAGCTGGTAGTTACGAAGTCGGCGGCATCGTGGTCCTCCTCTCTTCGTCGTCGTCTCGTCGTCGCCGTCGTTGCTGCAGTGGCCGTAACTGCTATAGTATTAGCAGTGTCCCTGGTCTTATCATGATGTCTGCCCGAGCCTGCCGGGAGCCCCACATCTTAGGCTGAGCGGGCTCCACATCATGAGGTGACGGTTGTCATGTCACCCTAAACTGCTGCAGAGTCGTCTTCAGGCTCCACTACTGGCGGCAGCGCCGGGTTCGAGACGCAACCGGAAGAGGAGGCAGGAACAGGTTGCTTGAGGCTGCAAGTTTGGAGTTGCTCCCTTGCCGTGTTCGTTTCTTCTGTACCAGGTTGCAGATCGCTTGAGCATTTCCAAAGGTGAAAGATCAGCAACAGGTCGACCCCAAACTGCTCCGAAGGAGGATCACGTTTGCTCGCCGTGTTAGGAGGACGCTTCCAGGACCATTCCTGCCAATTGGATTCCGAAGCATGCGTCCATCTACTGTTGTGTCTGCCCCCACATTTCATATATGTATGAAGGATAGACACTCACAGATGGAAAGACAGACCGCCAAAGGCAGGGGGGACAAAGCCAGAGACAGCACATACATACGTACACAGACACACACCAGCAGCAAGAAATCCAACACCTGTAAGGCCCAAAAGGTACAACTGCAAAACATCGTCGGGTTCATCATTGAACATGGGCTCCTTTTAGGCATCTAGACACCGCATGCAAGCCACACACCCGCGAGGAGCGCTCAGTCTCATCTGCAAGCAGGGCACCGCCTTTCCTGCAAGTCCATGTCCAAAGCTGCCAGGTGGAGGATGACTTCACTCATGCTGCTCTTGCTGAGCAAATCGCCCTGGCCTCGGCCATGCAGAAGAGCTACCGCAAGTTTTGAGCCGGCCGCTGGTGAATGTCGCTAACATTTTGCGGCCTCAGGTTTCAATGCTCATGGACCAAGCTTTTGCTTCTAAGATCGACGGTTGTTCGCTCCGGGGTGGTAAGGCGTTCTGAAATCGGACATTAAGCACCTGCTCTCACGGAAAATATTCTCCAAGGGCATTCGAGCCTTGTGTTTGCCAACCTTGCAATAGGCATGAACTTTAGATACTTGGGTTTATATGTGAGAAAGACATAAACATACATCCAAGGGTAGTTCAGCAAACAATCATATGGGTAGTTCTTTAAATAGGGTCCCTTAAACAGGCCTGGACGGCACCCTATACAAATGGACCTAAAAGGGGTCCTAATATAGAGAACTACATATATATATATATATATGTGTGTGTGTGTGTACATATGTATGTATGTATGTATGTATGTATGTATGTATGTATGTATGTATGTATACTCACACTTTCGATACTTGCGCATGTATGCACGTGTGCATGTATGTAGGTGTGTTGTGCGTATGTATAAACAGAGTACACCGAGAAGCCGTCTTGCCAGCTGACTCGCTCAGGCAAAGCTCTCTGCAATGCAGCGCCTCAGCGAATGGATACACGATTGCTCTCCAAGTGGAGTAAGAAAGAGTCTCAAGGTGTGGCCTCCCCTTTCTCAGCTTAAACTGCAACCGAGCAACAGGGCGACACGAGTCATGAGCCTGCAAGGATCCTGGAGCAAGTCCCCAGAAAGCAATCAACACTCTTTGGCGCACGTGGGATGCCAGCGCTTTCTACGAAGCTGAGGATTCAAGAGACCATGGCCACGATGTATTTCAACAACTTGTCTACCTCGCCACCTGCTCCGATGCAAGCCACGCGGATTTTTCAGAGTCGGAGGGTCTCCTTTCCCAAAGGCAAGACTCGTGCTTTGAGGTGCAGTAGGCCGGAGTGACAAGAGCAATAATAATTCAGAAAGGTAATGAACCGCGGGGGGAAGACAGATACAAGACGATCGACAATCAATCTTAAGACGTATCAAAGCAAGAAAACTCGAGGACGGAGGACAACATTTTCAGCCTCAGTTGCAGAAGTCGGGGGTGGACACAAGAAGTGATCTGAGGCAGGAGAGCCGGCTTTTGCAGCGTCTTGGATGCTCCTTGGACTTTCCATACATCGTGATGTTCGCATGTTCATCACAGATCTCAATCTCGGGATGGAAACAGATGACCGTTTCAAGCGATGCGAAACGCCTGAGGCCAACGCCGGTCCGCAACTTCTGCCACTTGGCTTCTCAGATGTGGCGGTTTGCCGTGGGAGGGCCAGACAAGCCATGGCTCTTTGTTTCGTCTACGATCCCGGCAGTGCGTTTCCCAAAAGTCATGACATCTCGAGGCCCGTGGTGCGGTTGCAAGCGCGCGGCCTGCTACACCTTCTGTGGCCTGCCTGCAGTTACGGCAGCCATTCAACTTTTCCTGACTATGCTCATGATATCTTCTTGGTTTTTGGCAGTGCAGGTTTGCGCAGTCTTCTCATGCGGCTCGGGCAAGGCATCACGTGATATCGTGTGTCACAAGCCAAAGAAATGCAAGCTCTGGCTGTCGGACACGACACAGAGTTGCACGCCCACCCATCACTGTCCCGATGTTGCATTTCGGTTTACCAGCTGGCAGCTCCAGTCTAATTGGCACTGCAACCCTGTCCTAGGTTGTAGGTCTCAGGGGTGAAGCCCTCTGATAAACGCAAGCAGCGTTTGTCCCGAGGGAACAGGTTCAAGAGGAAGCTGGCTTTACGAATCGAGCATAAAGCAAACGCATCTGCCTCCATATATATATATATACACACACATGTGAATATATATATATATATAAACATACATACATACATACATACATGCATGCATGCATGCATACATACATACATACATACATACCCTTCATTTGTGTATACACACGCACCCCCACCACACCCCCCCCAGTACGCCTACCGAACACTACGGAACCATCTACCTAGGTGCCTGCATACATAGAGGCACAGACATGCATCCTTACAGATCTGCAGATTCCCCACCATCCCAGACCGAGTGAAACGGCCGCCTGCTTCAGTCAACACAAGCTGAGGCCCGAACTGTGGCAACAAGCTTGACGAGTGAACGGTTCAACCTTTGGGCGCCCAGATGCATGTGAGGACCGGGAGACGACGGTGGGCTCAAGATTTAGAGTGTCAGGTTTAGGGTTTAGGGATTTCAAGATTCGATTCCGTCGCCGAGTGTGTCCAGGGGGCTGCCTGGGTCAACATCGGGGTTGACGTTAGGATTGTAACCAAAATCTGCCAAGCCAGAATTCAGAATCTCCTTGCCCTCCCTTCTTCCTGGAGCGCCGCATCAAAGTTTCCATGTTGGGCCCTGCAAGTCCCAAACAGAATCACGAGGATCCAGCCCGAGAAGTACAAGTTTCATGTTGCAGACTGCACTGCTGGCAAATATCTTGGGCTTTCAGGTCAACTTCCGGTCTCGTAAGCCTTATATAAAGCGCGCTTTTCTTGTGGAAGAGTCTCCAGGATCTTTGCTGGGAAACGGCCAGTGGATGTCAAAAGCGCCCTGCATGAATGTGGCATCAACCATCCGAGAAGGAACTGACTTCTGGACGGAGGAGGAAAAGTCGTAGTCGTAGGGCAGGTAGTGGCAGAAGAGTAGTGGGGGAGTAGTGAGAGTCGTAGGCGTATTCGGAATACTAGGAGTGCTAAGGCCAGGAGGCAGTCAGAGTCGTCGTCGTAGTAGTAGTAGTAGTAGCAGCAGCAGCAGCAGCTGCTCCGCGAGCTGGGTATGGAATACAGATGTTTCAACCTTTGCGGATTGCATTAGATTGCTCTTGCTTGCCGGCAGCTGGCCTTCTGCACCAAAAACTATTCCAAGTTTTCTGCTTGTGATGCAAGCTGATCGTTTCTGCCATGATGCCCTGCGAAAATGAAGGACTGCAAGCAGCAGGTATCGGTGGGCAACAAAAGAGGGGACATTGAGCCCAAACGTCGGAAATCAGCTACTCTGCCAGCTCGGGGCAGCATCCTAGATGCCACGGCCTTACTTCGCAGCCAAGGCATTCATTCGGGCCGAAGGCAGCGCGAGGCGCAGGGTACTGCTTAGTCATGCGTATCTGTCTCTAAGTATCTCTTTCTATGCTCTCTGTCTGTCCTCATATAGACGCCTGGCTTGTTCTTTGCCATAACATGTACAGACAAGCATCCGCCAAAGTACATGCACGTGTATACAGGTAACAACAGATACATAAACGTGCATTATCTAGCCGGTGATCGATCTGCCAATCTTCTCTTGCGACATGTACTTGCTCAGCCACCACCAGAGTGCTCAGGCAAGGAACAACCATGCCCGCAAAGAGGTAGCACTCGCATATTGACAAATAGATCTGCCAAACAGAGTTTCCAGCACTGCCTTTTCACGCTGCACGCATAGTGGTGATTGAAATTGGCTACGACACGACGACACTTTGGATTGCCAAATTCATCAGTCCAGTGGCAGGTCCGTATGTCTATGGAAGGCTTTTTATCAAGACTCTCTGCTGCAACTCATGTTGGCACCCATGCGATTGGACAGGGTCGGGGTGTACTTCATGATTCTGATATTGTGGTGTCTGCAAACTCAAGACGGGAATTTGTAATGCTGGTGCCCTCACAACCGAATAGAACCAGCCAAGCATATCAGTTTGCATTTACACCGCAAACGTCTGAAAGCCTTACTACATCACTGGCAGGGCTGCTTAGCCTCAGGTCCTGGGCAGAATTACGGGGCCTCGGGAGCAGGAGAATAGCGTTTAGGAAGGTCGAGGCCAATGCGCTGTCGATTTGGGAGCTCCTCAATCTAATGAAACGCCCTGGGGGGATGTTTGTCAGCTCCTTTCAGACGCGGCGTGGCAGCGTCCAATGCTCCGGCAAGGAAGGTTGGGGGACAAGATTGGCCCGTGGGGTAAGCCAAGTCGTTCGTACATTGCTCAGGATGGAAGTTCTGACAGTTTGAACGGCATCTCGGTTGCGTTTGGCACCGGTTCACTTCGTAAGCAGTCGCAGCTTGCTTGGCTCTGGAACACGAAGAGGAGACATGACTCATGCAGAGAGAACGGCAGTTCCGCCAGTTCGGTCCGCTTCCGCCCTGTTCGGCTAAGGCATCTACAAGTGAACTCAGGCATTCTGCAGGCAACTTGTTTGTTTTGCCAACATGGTCGGGCGAGCGAAACCCTGGCAAAGGCCGTGTGTGGGTTTTCTACACCAAGCCCCCACACCCCAAGCTGCCCCAAGATGCCCCACGATGCCCCAAGCCACCAGTCTCTAGTAATGGTGGGCCTGACCCGGGATCAGGTCTGGCTTGTGACGTTGCCAGGCCCATTTCAAGCGGTAGATCGCCTGGTCCTGACTGCCTACAGGGGCGATTTCCTTCTAGCCCTCTGCATTCGGCTCCAGGTTCTCCATCCAGGATGGTCTGTTAGGCCATATCAGGCCGGTTTAGGCCCATGACAAGACCTGGCTCTGGGCTGGGGTCCTCAATGCTGGGACTCTGCCCAGATTGCCGAACTGCAGAAGAAGGAGAAGCGAACCGAGCCGCGAACATGCGGTTTCCAGGCTTGACATGTGCGGAGTCCCGATGCTTTGCATGCATACCGGTTGCAAGGAGATCTGCCTGGAGCGAAACAAGTCTTCACATGCCAAGTTGCAGTCAGGGGGCCACGGCTGTTCCCGGCGATTTCTACATGCTTATCGGGGTTTTTGTGGCCCTCACTGTCAGCTTCGGATATAGACTCGAGGAAGTGTTCGACTTGTGGTTGGGACTTGCTTTTCATTGCAAGGAGGTGAAATATTCTTGTAAACGAATGGCGCCCATCGGGGTGTAGGCAGCAGTCCTAGGAAAGAAGGTAGCTCGCGCCCATCAAGCTAATGAACACACCAGGGGCAGTTCAAGATTCTGGGTCCATTGTAGTGGCTTTGGCCGATTAGTTCCCACAGGGTCGCCGGCAAGCATTGCGAGCTGTTCCTGCAAGAGCAGGTGCAGTTTCCCGAAATCAGTGGTCCTTTCGACACCAAGTCACAAAAGAAAGGAGGGACCATGCGTTCAAGGCATTTTTGAAAGCCATGGGCAGCCTTATCGCAGTTTGTTGCAGCACAGATCGGGGCTTCTCCCAGGCCAATCTCATCATTCCCCGTGAGTTCGAGCAAAGCAGCTCAACTGGCGAGGATGGGTAAGGTTACCTGCATTCCTGATCCCGTTTGGGTTAGCCTTTTAAGTTGTAACGTAGCTTCCAGGGACTAGCTCGCCTCCGGCCTTTGAATAGTCCGGCGGGGACTCAGCACAGAAGCTGAGACGCAAAGTCACGGACTCAACGCATTTCCTGCAGTGCACCCCTACGTTCCCAAAAGGTGCAACTGTAGATTTCAGCAGTGTGAGACATACCCTCTCCAGGATCCGACGATTCCAAGATGCAAGGGTTACATGAGCGTTAGGGAACGCTTAGTTACCTCATTTCCAAGCTTCGGTAAACTTTCATGATGCTGGAGTTAAGGGGCGGCCGGAATAGATGGTAACTACTCGGATGCACTAACGACATGCCGCCCTTAGATGCAAGGACCGGCAGGTTGTCCACCCGGTCGCAGCCACGTAGTAGAACCGACCCAGGGCCTAAGACTTTCCAAGCGGATCCACTCACAGAGTCGAGGAGGGGGCAGGTCGCCAGCGGCATATCTCCGCAAATGCCTTCTGTGTGCGGTGCCCCCAAAGGAAGGAAACCCTAAATCACACTGAGGAGCTAAGCCCTGAACCGTTTCGAGTTCAAAAGGGATGGTGGCATGCAGTTGACACGCGGGATATTTGCACAAGCGGCTGAAGAGTCTCGCTCTACGTTCCCCTGTTTGAAAAGTCAAACGAGTGCGCAGGGCCAATTTGTGGCACATGACCGCTGGAGTGCTGACAGAACTCACAAGCCGGCCTGGAGTTCTCAGCGTCTGAACTGCTTAGGTTGTTGGTCGCAGAGCATGGAGCATGAGCACCTGATCTCAATTCTGAATGCACCCACAGGAATGCTGAATCGATTATCACACAGACAGCTACCGCATCATGTAAAGTAGCCATAAAATCTCCGTGTGCCAAGGCGCCACGACGTCTTGCATTCTAGACCTGGAGGGCGCCCAAGCTGCCCTTCTCACCCGGCAGAAAGGCAAAACCAGGTGCAGGCTTACTTAGCAGTGCAACTTGCTGCTCCATGCCAAGGTAAGAGTTTACGAGATACTGGTGTTCGGCGGCTGTAGAGAGGTCTTGACACAAGCACTCTGATTCGGCGCACAGACTGGCCCTAGCTGCCTGAGAAGTCACTTGATGCCGAAGAGAAAAAAAGTGCGAAAGCAGGGCATCTGATGGAGACACAAGCAACTCTTGAATCCCAGGTCTCAGCAATTTCGTCCCAGGTCCACAAACAGGAGGTGCAGACATCCGTTCATAAAGCGACATGGATACATCCTCCTCAACCCTTAAATCCGTAGTCCTAAGCCTTAGGCGCAAAAGGC